CCATCACTATCAATCTAAAGTTTTAACTGGGCACACAGCCACCACACCTGTCAACCGGTGACATATAAACCAAAAATATATATTAACCTGGACAACCTGGAGAGGAGAGGTGAGACCCGATCTCCTAGCCCTCTCTCCCTAGGAGATTTCTCTCTCTCTGGGTTAGTGCTATTTCTGAGATCACTGTTTCCCTTAGTTTTCTCTTCACCTGTTTATTGCTCTGTTGATGTAGCTTTAAGTGTGTATTGTTCCACCTCATCGGTTGCCGTTTCGTTGTCCCCGCTCGTCGTTCCATTGGTCGTCATTCCTGTCTCTCCTGTAGTTGTCATCATTGTGGAAGTTTCCTCCGTCTGTGTTCCTGTACCAGTTGGTCCCCCTCTGGTGGTTTTGTTCTCCCTCGTTGTATCGTCTTCCATTCATATTTCCTATAAAATCCTGGCTACTATGATTCCTAATTCTTAAAAAAAAAACACCGTTGTTGCTCTTATCCAATATCCCTGTGCCTACCCTGGTTGCTGTTATCTCTCTCCCTGTACCAAATGTGGTTATTGGGATCTCTTCATTGATCGTCTTGTTCAGGCCTGTAGTTCTGCGTCGGCCGTACCTGTCCATTGTTTCTTCTGTCGCGGGCTGAGTTTACCCCGTTTGGCCCTGTATCTTTCTCCAGCCTTCCCCAGCTGCGTGGTACGTTACCTCCTATTATCGTTCTTGTTCCCTGGTTCCTGGTGATGAACCAGGTCAGGATTCGCTTCTAGATCCTTTTCTGCTTGTAGGAGACCGATCTGGGTTTATCTTGTATTTTGGCTTTGATTGCTGGTTGCTCTTTTATTCCGAAGGCTTTGTGGATAGCATCCATAAGGTTTTATATCGTTCCTTCATGGGGGATGGAGATGGAGTCCTCATAACAAATCACAATAGTGAGATGCATCAAATGAAGAAATCCACAAGGACCTCGTCCAGGCCCTTGTGGATCTGTTCATTCGAGTCCTCATACTTCAGGTTTTTGTCCTCCAGCTATATCTTACTCTTATTAGGCCTGATTTAGATTACATGTTTCAGTTTTGGTCGCCGTACTATACAATGGAAATAAATTCACTAGAACACCTCCAGCATAGGATGCCAAAGTTAATCCCACAAATTTGAGATCTCATATGAAAAAAATATTGACAAAGCTTAAATTACACTCGCTGGAAAGGCAAAGAGTTAGGGGTGACCTGACAGATGTACAAGTGGAATGGATATAACAAAGGGTATATTAAGTATTAAAAGTATCAACACAGGACGGAACACGAAACAGTGGGTGTAGATTGAATGGGTTTGGAATTGGGAGGGACCTAGGTAAATGCTGGTTCGATAACGGGGTTGTTGATTTGTGCAACCAGTTGTCACGTGATGTTGTGGGGGGGGGGGGATCCTTTGATTGTTTGGGGGGTCGGTTGGACTTGCATGAGTGAGACTGGGTGGTTGTGGGTGGGGGGCGGCCTCGTGTAGGCCAGTGGGTCTTCTACAGTTGCCTTTGTTCTTATGTTCTTAAATTACACTAGCTAGAAAGGCGAAGAGTAAGGGGTGACATGACAAATGTGTACAAGCGGATGAATGGATGTAACAAAGGGGAATATTAATAGGGGTATTAACAGTATCGCCACAAGACAACACGAAACAATAGGTATAAATTGAATAAGTTAAGATTTAGGAAAGACCTGGGTGAATTCTTTTTTCAGTATCAGTATCATTTGTAAAACAAATTACCCCATAACGTGGTGGAGGTGGGGTCCCTTAATTGGTTCAAGCATGCGTTGGACATGTATACGAGTGGGATTGGGTGGTTATAAACAGCAGCGGCCTCGTATGGGGCAATAGGCTTTTGCAGTTACCTTTCTTACGAGTGGAGAAACAGGGCCTACACGATTCGCACTCGTCTAGCCCCGATCTTCAGCTTCTAGCACAGCTAAGCTGTCGTGTTTATAATTTATCACTTTCGTGCCATCTTCACTTGGATGTACGGGCGGTTTATTTAAGCGCTTGTCGGATCACGACGTACATTTACGGTCCGTGTTATAGTGGGTATATACTACTCGATCGACTTGGGGTTTGTATGAATATGTTTGCCAATAAATTTTCGTTTTCTCTAATAGGCACAGTGCCTATTTGAGAAAACGGCAATGTATTGTAACTTAGAGGAGAGACTATTGAGTTGGGGAATCAACGAGGGTAATCGCCCACTCCACACACTCTTGTGTTGGCCGCGATCATGATTCTACATTTATATGCATATGTCTGTGTAGAGAATTTTATTGCGAGTTCAGTGATATAAAATTTAACGCTGTAGGACTAATGTGGAGCTGACAACAAACAAAAGAGTATGAACATTTTGTAGCTGTTTGGGCGTACAGCTAGACAAGTGATCTACGTTTTTATTTATTTCGTGATGGAATAGCTAATGCTTTGGTTAAATTTTATACATATGATCTTGTAGAGAATTTTATTGCCAACACATTGATACCAAAAGGAAATACGTAGCTCGAGAATTGGTGTCAGGAGAGTGAACAGATTCCACACTGTTTGGTGTTTACGCTCATGAGAAAAAAACGCCGCGCGCACAATGCGCAGAGTTTTTTCGCGGGTGCCGGGTGCATCAAACTGTTTAATGGAACGAATTAACTTTAAATTAAATTCATTTATTCAACGTAACTAATTTACTTCAGTCTAGTCGTTTCTGAATATAAACCTCTACAATTGTGGAATCCCAAAATACAGTCCACTGCTTTTAAATTCAATATAAAATTGGTATGCCACCAATGAAGGATATCACCTTCGATCTACTTACATTGTTATGACCACTTAAAATGCACTACGACGAATGCACTATGGCCAATATAAAAATGCTGTATGCAAAGCTGTCAAAATGGCTGACCTGCCATCGACAAGCTGGGGCCACTAGAAACCATATGCAAGTGTACACAACACAACGCTAACTAGAACATACAACCATCCTGGTATCCACCACTGACCAGAGAAGACTGCAAATACTAGAAGCTATACGCAAAGAAAAATATACTAACCCTTAATACAGAGTAACTTCTTTGATACCTTGCCTATGGTAAAATCCAGACCTCACCATTCAGTACCGACTAACGAAATCTCTACCGAGTTCTCCCCACCCACTGCCTAACCCAGTGTTTGATTGACATTAATCCTAATTACTCCCCTATTTCTTCACCTATTGTCACATAATTATCCTTCATAGTCGGTAACTTTCGTCCTGTCTTATCTTCGGTGATCATATAGTGAAGACTATTCAGGCACTAATATTTATGCAGTAACACGTGTACGATGCGCCTCCTTCCAGTCACCGCCCTTCGCACCCGGTGAAAACCCACACGAAACATTCCAGTTTCTTCCGTTCACAACTCATGACGTCACTGCCAGACGTCTGGCAGAATCGTATAAATACCGGTGCTCCGGTGTCACAAATCGCTTCTCGGCCTTTTGGCTAAGATCAAAATGTAAAGCTCCCAACAACACCGACCGTGCAGCCATCTAGTGGCGGATTCTGGAGTTATCCCAGAACCGATCACTGGTAAAGGGGGGAGCAAGCTCCTTACACTTTACATAGTGGCTGGCGAGACGGCAAGTCCCCCGTGATTGCCGTCGACCTTCAGGGGCTGGCTTGTCCGGGGCCAGTCGCCTGAAGGGGAGACCATAGACCCTGTCTTCCTCCACACTTGTGCCTTGAGCCAGGTGCTGGAGGACGAACATAGCCTATGTTCACATTGATTGTGTTGTCGTCCGCACGCCCGTTTTTACGGAGTTTAATGGGGCAACACAATCAATGTGTCTCTGTCCCAGTCACGGCCTCGTGCTTCTGTCACTTGTGATGGATCCACGACGGCCTTCGAGGTTGACGGTCCCGTGGGTGGAGAAGGACCAAACCCTGCAGGCAGCGACCCAGGTCGCTGCCCATAAGCAAAAACCACAGTACCCACACCACACTGGCCGCCTGAAAGATGGACCGGCGACGACGGTGGGACCCGAGGTCGACCTTGGTGAGTCGGCCTCAGTACTCAAGATGGACCACGACTCGAGGACGACTACCTGCCCTGACCCCAGCGATGTGAAAGTGGAAGTTGACGACTCCAGGGACGACTCCAGTGATGATGACTGGTGATCGACTTGGACGAATCGACCGCGTGGATGACGACGACCGCTGGCCATGAGGTCGCCCTTGGCGAGGCGGCCTCAAGGAGGACCATACTCCCCCACTCTGGGGTCAGTCTTGGGAGGCTGGCTCGGGGTGGGGTCGACGCTAGAGGCAGAGACGCGGGGGTCAGCGATGTGAGGCTGGCCCATTCTACAGACAACACCGCGGTCGCCCTTGGCGAGGCGGCTTCGAGGAGGACCATACTCCCCCGCCCTGGGGTCAGTACTGTGAGGCTGGCTCGGGGTGGGGTCGACGCGAGAGGTGGTGTCATGAGGGTCAGCGCTGTGAGAGTGGCCCGTGACGCTGCCGTCAACACCGGGGTCGCCCTTGGCGAGGCGGCCTCGAGGAGGACCATACTCCCTTGCCCTGGGGTCAGTCCTGTGAGGCTGGCTCGGGGTAAGGTCGACGCGAGAGGTGGAGCCGCGAGAATGGCCCGTGATGCTGCCGACGACACCGGGGTCGCCCTTGGCGAGGCGGCCTCGAGGAGGACCATACTCCCCCGCCCTGGGGTCAGTCCTGTGAGGCTGGCTCCGGGTGGGGTCGACGCCAGAGATGGGAACGGGTCAATATTGCAATTGAACCCATCTTACGAACAGCCATTGCAACTGGCCTTGATACCAATCCTGACTTCAAACACCCCTGCCTGGCCTATGCAGATGACATCACACTGCTGGCCAGAACTGAAGCGGGTCTACAGAGCCTCCTAGACGTCACAACGGCGACCTGTGGGGATCTGAGATTGGCTCTAAACCTCAGAAAATGCTCCTCTATGCATATGTCTGGGAGACAGCCAAGGGGAATGAGAAATACGACTTTCCACATCGGCGAGACAAACATCAACTGCCGTAGGAACGGCGAAGAAACTAAGTTCCTTGGCAGGCCAGTAGGATTCCACCTACTGCCAAATTCTACAGCAATTGATGAATTCAAGAAGCTGGGGGAAGCCATACTGACCAGCAAGTTGGCGCCCTGGCAAAGGATTGATGCTCTAAAGACCTTTGTATTCCCTACGACGGTATTTGCAATGCGAACGTGGCAGCTGAGAAAAGGAGATTGGCAGGAACTCGATGATCACCTACGAAAATTAATCAAGTCAACGCTCTATCTCCCGACCCGAGCTACAAATGACTACCTATATGGCAGCGCAGCGGCAGGCTCCTGTGGAATCCCCCTTGCTGCAGAGGACTCAGACGTGTTTGTGATTGATTCGGCCTTCAAACTTCTTACTACGCCGGACCAAGACACAAGAAACATCGCGAGAGAAGACTGCACCAAGGTCGTGACCCGGAGACTACGAGAAGACGCTACATTAGTGAATGTCTGCCAATATCTGTCCAAGGAAGCAATGGCTCAGCGGCCGACTGGTCACGAAACAGTCTGGTCCAGAGCAAGAAATGCATCTGCAAGACTAGACACGAAATGGTCTGCCGACGGCGAAGAGCTAGCACTAACATGCGGGGAACGGACCATGACAAGGAAGGAAAGAAGACTCGTGGCAAGGAACATCCGCAATCACCATCGTGGACTCAGAGACGAAAGCCTGCAGGACAAGCCGGACCAAGGAAAAGTGATGAAGCAAGTCGCAAAAGTCCGAGCCTCGTCCTCCTTCATCTACGACGGAGCATTCACTACCTTCGCAGACTGGAGGTTCATCCACAGGGCTAGGCTTAATCTCCTCCCCCTCAATGTAGCAAGGCGCTTCAATGTTAACTCTGATAAACGTTGCAGGCGTTGCAAGAACCCAAACGAGACTACCACACGTCCTTAACCACTGCATGAGGCTGTCCAACCCCATGAACAAGCGCCACAACGCACTAGTTCAACGGATCGTGAAAGCTGCTGAAGGACGATTCTGGAAGGTCATCACGGCGAATCAGCAGATCCCTGGCATCGACAGCAACCTACGGCCGGACATCGTCCTCGAGAAAAATGGAGAAGTCCTCCTCGTCGACGTGACGTGCCCCTTCGAGAACGGCGAAGCCTCCCTGGATGAAGCTAGGCTGCGAAAGGAGCAGAAATATGCGCCGATTGCAGCTGCGCTGCGACGGACCTACAAGCAGGTCACTGTCCACGCCTTCATCGTGGGCTCACTAGGCTCGTACGATCCAAGGAATGACAAGTTGATGAACAGGTTCGCCTCCAAGAAGTACCAGAAACTCTTCATGAAGCTCTGCGTCACCGACACGATTCGATGGTCGAGGATGATCTACATCGAACACGTGACCGGCGCCCGGCAGTATTGATTTCCATTTATTTGTGCTCTCTCTTGCAGGACCATGCCATTTCTTTCAGAATGTGTCTATGCTATTTGTTTCAGGAATTTACATATTTTATGAAATTATTATGAGTTCCATTGTAAAATTTTCATATGCACCCTCTGTGGGAATTGTCACAAGGCATTATTTAACAGTCTCCGTGGTGTAGTGGTAAGACACTCGCCTGGCGCTCCGCGAGCGCTATGTCATGGGTTCGTATCCTGGCCGGGGAGGATTTACTGGGCGCAATTACTTGGATGAAAAAACGATTCTTCGCGGCAGGGGATCGTATTCCAGGGACCATAGGATTAAGGACTTGCCCGAAACGCTACGCGTACTAGTGGCTGTACAAGAATGTAACAACTCTTGTATATATCTCAAAAAAAAAAAAAAAAAAAAAAAAAAAAAAAAAAAAAAAAAAAAAAAAAAAAAAAAAAAAAAAAAAAAACAACTCATGTAACATTATTCAATAAACAAATAATCTGTCACAAATTACTTCTCAGGTGCCCCCAAGGTGTAGACATTTCGAACTGTCCGTGACCTGCACTGGAAGATTATTCTCAGGTTGTGTTGTGGTAAAGTATAACTGAAGCTGTGTTGTTTGTATTTAAATTCTCATTCTTTTGCTGGGTCTATAAGGCCCTCATTTTCATTAATGATATTTGTTTCAAATTATATTGTGTATATGCCAAGCTGTACGTAAAGTATTAAAAATATTAAAATGTCAACTATTGTTATTGTGTTCATTATGGTCTCAGAATAGCATATATCCTTCATGTTCCTCGGTGAAAAATATTGTTTGAGAATACAGTTTACTGTAAAATATTCTTTCAATGTGGCCATCCAAATGTGCCAAATTTATACGCAAAATATTTATAACTCCAAATGTTGTGACTATGACTAAACGACATAGAGAACACCTTAGAACAAAGAACTATGCACAATGTAAAAATGGTGAGAATCGGCCAAAATTTTTCTGAAGCTGTCTCAAAGTTGAAATTCCTGTTTTAGAGATAATTGAAGTTGAAGTTATTGACATTGACTATAGCAGTTCTATTGAATGAATTTTCTTGTAAGTTAATAAACATTGCTTGGTATTCGTACTCAGAAGTGAAAGATGTAAGACTGTTGAAATGAAGTCACGGAAAAAAACTATATGGGGATATGTTAGGGATAAACATATATTGCATTAACTATATTGCCCATATATAAGAGATAAGGCCCTCATCTGGTCCTCATGCATCAATACAACCTAAAATGACAATAGTTTGAAATCTGTAAATAGATCGACCAAAAAGAAATCAGTCAAATTCTGCCACTTTTGGCTGCTTAACATGTTGACCAGTTTCGTTCAAACTTCACATGCTTAGTGCCGGATATGCATTCTTCAAGATGTAGAAGTCAACAAAATCCGCATATAAAACAAAAAAAGTGGTTGTCAGCTTTTTGTAAAAAGAAATACATTACCCAATGGCAATATTTCTTATATATAATAAAATACACCATAACATACTAACTCCTTATGTGTGAAATCTGGCCCTCCAAGTGGCACCAGCTGCACGTCAACTTTGTAGACCCTCACTATTAATCTACTTCTTTGTGCATCAGACAGGTGCTTGCATCTCTCTATCCCTGATTGCCAGTAAATAGGAGATGTTACCGTTGTCATCAGTATAGGTTGCCGCCCGTCGCGCACGCATTTATTTTTTATAATTCTTAAAAAGTTCATATCCTAACACATCCGGATGAAATTTTCACGACGCTGATGCCAAATAACGAGAAATTTGTTTAATATTTTCCACTATTTTTCCATATTTAAAAACATTCTCAGTCACCCGGCCCCTTGAAGATAATTCTTTTATTTGGATTAAAGTTGTTTGTATTTTGCTTTAGTATTTTCTGATACTTCTGTTAAGTTAACTTCATTTTTTTTGCGTTACTGAAACATACCATCTTTTGGGTATTATCGGATTACCTTTTCGCGTAAATATTTATGTCCATGTAATTATACACAATTGTGTGACTAGCTTCACAATTATTCACCTATAAACAAAAACGGCCAATGTGCATTCCATACACCTGCCAATCAATATTTATAAATGAAAAACGGTTTATACACGACTCAACTGATGATGTTCGAACACCATCAGTTCTTGAACAAGTGCTCCACTGACGACTGTTGCACTTAGTACAATTCAGTAAAGGCTTCACCCACATAGTACAAATTCAAATAATCGCCAACAGAATCTAAACACCTATCCTAACCAATGCCTAAATATGCAGAGTAAGCTAATATTAAATTAGCTGTTAAATTATATTAGAAAATTCCTCTCTTGAATGAACAGATTAAAATTGATGAAGGCGATGAGTCACAATAACGTGGCTGAAGTATGTTGACCAGACCACACACTAGAAGTTGAAGGGACGACGACGTTTCGGTCCGTCCTGGACCATTCTCAAGTCGATTGTGATGAGGAGGAGGAGGTTGTTTAAGATTCGCTACTCAGAACAATAAGTTCCAGTAGCACGGGCTATGGTGAGCCCGTAAGTGGAGGCTCTTTGGAGCCATTATCTGTATCAGTGGCTGATACTAGAGATGTGGCGATGGATGGGGGTCTTCATTATGGTTTTCAGCCTGGAGGGCTGGCTGTACCAGCCAGCCCTCCAGGCTGAAAAAGCCTCCAGGCTGAAAAAGGTTACGGAGCTCCAGGTTACGGAGCTCCAGGTTACGGAGCTGGTGGGGTTAGTGTAGACCTCTAGGTTTTCCGTTTTTTCTTTGCCTGCGACTTTGGCTGAGTAGTGCTGTCGTTAGGGTTTGGTGACGTGGCCTCCATGAGGAAGTCTTGAACCGTGTAGGTGTCGTATTTGTGATGCGGCGGTGGAGTTCCTACTATGATTTCCTCGTCTGAGGAGTCCGTAAACTCCGTAGTGGGCGTTTTTGTCTTTCGCCTCGCAGCCTTAGGTAGGTTTAGGTGTCGTTGATTGGTGGTTGTAGCCATTTCAGGAGCGCTGGTGGTGCTGTTATCGTTTGTAGACAGCACGTCTGCTAGCGCGGCTGCTGAGATAGTGATGGTAGGAGTGTTGGGAGCTGGAGAAGGAATTACATCTGTCGCCAGGGTCATGGGCGGTTCTGGAGTCGGTGTTGAAGTTGGCCACATGGTGGTCCTGGTGTAGTCTCCGGAGTGGTAGAGGAGGCAGTGAGATTTACGCTAGTGGCTATGATGGGGGCCAGGCCATTGTCTATGTATAATGCGTTTAGTTCACTGACAAAGCGCTGCTTGTCTGGTCCTGCAAGCCTTTCCGCTAGTTTAAGAAGACCAGGGATAATGCCTGCACGTGATGCAGGGGGCTGTGAAGGAGTCTGTGGGACCTTGGGTCCACAATGAGAAGGCTGTGTCACCTGCTGGGAGGAGCCACCTGTTGGTAAGACCGGAAAGTCTTCTGGTCGACTAGTGAGAGCTAAGGTGGTGGGTTGAACGCTTGGGGCTCTGGTCGAGGAGGTAGACGAGTTGTTTCTTTTGGCTTCAACCTGGGCCTTGATGATTTCCTGTCTGCGGGGGCAGCGGTAGGAAATTGCGGGGTGATTGCCATCACAGAGCAAGCAGTGATGGACTGTTGCCTTGCATATGGAGTAGTGATGGTCCAGTGCGCACAGGCTGCACCTCTGGACAGGGTGCTGACACTTGTTGGTCGGGTGGGAGAGCTCGTAGCACTTAAAGCACTGCTGGATCTCATGGTATCGTTCCTTTTTTATTTGGTGGGGTGGTATTTTTGACCGAAGCAGTAGAATCCTTGTGTGGCAGCCTGGGTGGCCGCAGCTATGATGGTGAACGTAATCTTCATTGATGTTTTGTCAGTGTTGCAGAACTCTAGGTTGAATACCGACAGGTTTGGATTTTCGTCCTCGATATTGTTTATGATATGATGTTGAGGTCGCTCAGCGATCCACCGGCTGGTCCTGCTGGTAAAAACGGTTCTTCCGGCCAGGAACTGACGTGGGAAGTGAGGATGTAGGTAGTGCTCTTTGTGAAGAATGGCATCGTTAGTGAGGAGTGTTAGTGAGTTAGAGAGGAGCTCCTCTTCACATGAAAAGTAGAGCACGATATCTTCACCTTCCTGACTAATGTCAGCGGGTTTGAGGCCAGTTACGTCCTTCAGGACCTTTAAAGTATTGCTTCTTCCGATAGCATGACCGTCAAGTGGAGTAGCTCTGACCTTAAGACGTTTGGGTCGCATTGTGACCACACTGCGCCTGGTGATGTGTTGGCGGGAAATGTCTCTCCCGTGTGCTGTGAATCAGAGCCGATTCTACAAGACGGCGTCTGTGTAGAGTAGAGGCAGAAAAGATTATTTGGAGGAAGACCAATCAATGGGATGATTAGAATCCCTCGCATGGCAGGAGAGAATAATCTTTCCTGCCTCTACTCTACATAGACGCCGTCTTGTAGAATCGGCTCCGATACACAATGTACCCAACATGAATTTGAGTCCTGGCTTTGTTGCTGTGGACTCA